GAGAGCTGCGGGCCCTCCTGCTGACTCTGCTCCCGTCGCCCTGATCCAACCTCTCACGAAGCAGGTGAGGAAACTGAGGCCCGCAGGGGGCGGGGCCTTACTCCGAGCCACACAGGGGCCCCATCACTCCTTTACTCCCACTGTCCCCTCCTCCTTCCCCGTTTGTCCCTTGGAAAAATCCCACACACCATCCTACTCCCCCAGAGGACCCCTGCACACACGCTGGCCGCTTGCTTCTCGCTCACTTTCATGAGTTTGTCTAGGGGGTTCCCGGAAGGGTTAGAGTTCCTGGGTGGGCCCCCGGGGAAAACTCAGAGGGTGGATGGCAAACCCAGGCTCAGCGCTGAGCGCCCTCCAGCCCCTCTGGGACCTTGCACCCTGGCCTCAGACAACAACCTCAGTAACCACGACCCTAGCAGCTGCAGGCGTTGAGGGCTTTGAGATCATCTCAATGAACTGGCAACAGCCCTGCCATGTAGCTCTGCCTTCCTGATGAAGAAACTGGGGTTCAGAGCTGTGAGTAACTTGCCAAAGCTCACGCAGCAAGGAAGCGGTGCAATGGAGAGCCTAGCACCTCCTCCCTTCCAGCCCCCAAAGCTGCCAAGCGTTACTTACTCCCTCCCAGAATTCCAAAGAGGGCCTCCGGATATGATGCAATTAATTACAGTTATCAGGTCATTAATTAAGATTATCCCTGTTGTTATTAAACATTGCCCTGCTACCTCTCAGTTTGCGATGAAATTCACACTCAGGCTTATCAGCAATTACTCCTGGGTTGATAATAATGAGTCTGGAGCCTCCAAAGGGCGCAGGTGTATGAGGGCTGAAAACCTTTGTCAGCTTGTGTTCGTTCACTTTTGTGCAGCCAGAAAAAAAAAAAACAACATTTTTTTTAAACTACTCCCTATCTGTCACCAGCCTGAGGGGCTAGGAATGAAACAAGGAACCAGACAGACCCCAGCCCTGCCCCCTCGGCTCTCGGAGGCTGGGAGGAGGCACAAACAAACAGGCCACTACAGTGCAGTGAGACAAGCCACGCTCAGGCCATACTCTCTGAAATCATCTTATTCATTGGTTTGTTTACTTGTTTATTGTCTTGTTTCACACAAGAACTTAAACTCCACAGAGCCTGTCCTAAGAGTTATTCAGAGCTGTCTGAAACCCTAGGTCTAGGGCAATACCAGGCTCACAGTAAACAGCCAGCAAATACTTGTTGAGCACTTACTATGTTCCAGACATCATTCTAGGCATGCAAGAGGCATCAGTGGACAAAACAGGCATGGCCCTTCCCCTACTGGAGCTTCCATTCCAGGGGTGAATAAGTAGTGGAGGTGACAGCAGAGAGGAAAGTTTCCGAATGCCAGCAAAGCAGCAAGAACATCTTCAGGTATCCATCAAGTGGCCTTGAGGCTCATAGCATTAAGCCTTGGACCAGAATTTAGGTGTTCTGGACCTGCATTCACAACCTACTCCATTCCCATCTCTGATATCTTATTTCCCTCCTGGGCCCCGAGCCCTTCTGAGTCCTCCTGGCAGGATGCGTGCCCCTCTTTGGTTGCACTAAGGTTTACCTTCCCTCCCAGAACCATGGGAAGGCCTAGAATCTCCAGGAAGCTTCCCCCATGGCCTCTGCTCCCTGACCGCTTCTCCTCTACTCTGCAGCACTCCGAGCTTTGGTTCATTGCTCTTGTTGTTTTGTTGAATTGGCTCTGGGCGTGTACTTACTTGAACTGTCTCCAGCTTGAGGGCAGCTATGATCCAGGCTTGAGGCCTGGGACCATACTCCAGGTCCCCATCATGCCCCTGGAGCCCAGCACAAGTTGGGGTCATTAAAGGATCATAATAGATTCCAGGGGACATCCTCAAACCCTTATCAGTAGAACTCTCTGGATCCAGAGTTGCAATCCACCAGCTCATAGAAAAATTGGAACCCGCAGAACATTTTGTTTTGCCCACAGTTGTTGTTAATTACTTACCAACATTTAACAATTGGGAGATTTCCCATAAAAAGCCAGATTGCTGGCTTCTCTTAACAAATCTGAGGATCCAGTAATGCCAGGCCCTCATTCCCGCAAGGAACCATGGCCCCTTACACAGAGCTGTGTACTCCACTTGCCTTCATCCCTCCCAGCCCTGTGTCGCCCACCTGCCTCGGAGGCCTCTCCTCTATGAATTAGCATTTTCCTTTCATTTCCCCCTCTGCATTCTACTTTTAGGAGAAAGAAACACAAACGTGAGAATAAATGAGCCAGCAGCCCACACCTTCCAGGCCCACCCAGGCCCCAGGCCAGGCCGCATTCCCCTGCATTCTTGCCCTCCTCTGACACGCAGACACCCCTTCTCTCTCACCTCCCCAGCTTCACATTCGATGCTCCACGGCACAAACGAATGTGCAAGGTGCTTCACTGGGCCTTTGCCTGCGCTGTTCCTTCTGCCTGGAATCTCGTTGCTGCTCCGTCCTCCGACACTATGGCTAACTGCTTTATGGGGCTCTCAAATGATACCTTCCCAAAGATCTCTTCTCTAGTGCCCTCAGACTTGACTCCAGGGCCCCCAGTGTCCTACACTTCCCATGTCAGTGTGCCCACCCTACCGTGTTGTGTGGTGTATTTGTTCCACGTCTTCCCCAGACTGTGAGTCCTTGGGGGCTGGGACTCTGCTGTGTCATTCATGGTGGAACCCCCAACACCTGGGACAGAGCCTAGTAGAGCATAGGCACAAGACAAATATTTACCAAGTTGAATAAATGGGTTTCAACAGCCACGAAGGGAACAAAAAGAATCTCTGGGAACATTTCCATGTCCCAGAACATTCAATTAACCAGAATTTCCCACTCGCCGAGCATTCTGGTAAGGACAGGATTTGCTGTGTAAGCATAATCATTAATGACACATCTGAATGGGCCTGGGACCCTGTTCTCTCTCATCTCTACCACTGACCTGAGGAAGAAGGAGGAATGGAGGGAGGGAGTGCAGGGGTGGTATTTTCCATTGGCTAAAGAGGATAAGGTTGCCTAGCAAGCTGGTGGCAAAGATAAGAAACCCAAGGTTTTTCTGCCTCTGCCTCCCAGCCCAGCCCCACTGCCACAGGCCCAGGCCCATAGTGAGTCAAAAAGGAAGTGGGTGGATGGGAAAGTAGACTTCTCAAGCCCAAATCCCACCTTCACACAAGCAGTATGAATGGAAAGCATGCAGGAACAGTCCTCATTACTTACTATTATCATCAAACCAATCATGAACAGGTTCTTACCTAAGAGAGGCTGGATTACATTTTGATAATAAATGAGGGTGACAGAGTCTGTCTAACCAAGATGAAACCCCCTTCCCATACACTACTGTCCCTGTTCAGTATGGCAGGCATTTTGAAGGGGGCTGGGATGCACTAAGCAACCCCCCAAGCCTCCCAATTCCTCACAACTCAAGGCCTGCATGTGTGGGAAGGAAGCTGAGGGCAAAGGCTCAGCCACAGGTGGAGGTGGTTCTGGGAGCGCAGGTGAGGAGGGAAACTTGAGTTCTCTGAGACCACTTTACAGGCCTTGGTGTCAGGGAGTGGCCAGTCTGAGTTCTCCTGAGATAGCTGTGGGGCGGGTGGACAGCTCATGTCCAGTGGGCTGGACATGGACACAGTACAGGGCTCTGGGGCTGATTCCACTCTAAGCTTTCTGTAGGACCCTGAAAACAGCCCTCAACCTCTTTCATTTGGTCCCACTGCCTATCAAGTGAGAACAGTAATCTTTTGGCCCTCTTCTATCTCATAAGATATTGAAGGCTCAATCCTATGTGGCCTAACGAAGATCTTTCAACTTCTCACTGACACAATTAAATTTGCTGTTTGATACGATATTATCATAAACAGTCGTAACTATTATTTATGAGTGGCAACCGAGGGTAGTAGCGGTCAAGAACTCAAACTCTTGGAATTCTCACTGTTAGAGAAGAGAACTATAAATATGGAAAGAGAGAAGAGTAGAATGAACCCAGTGGTGTTGGACTGGAACTGGAAGTATTGACGTGAGCTCATAGTTCTGTCCATCAAGAGGATCAGGGAGCAGGAACAACCCAATAGCAACGAGCACACTTAGCTGGATCATGGTTTCTAAGTACCTCTCTCTTCTACAAGGAACCAGAGTTCCTTGGGAAAATGGCTGATTCCGGGGAAAGAACAAGTTGAGCCTGAAACATATTGTGCCACAAATTAATAAATTGCTCAAGAAGTGATGGAGATATAGCAAAAGGACACAGAAACCGGCTCAAAGAGACTCTGAATAGCCACACTGAGGACGATTTGAGCATCAAATCATAATTGTAATTATGATTTTTTATAATTGTAATTATGATTTGATGCTCAAATCGTCCTCAGTGTGGCTATTCCTATTATAATTGCTTATAACAGGAAACCAAAAATCCATACTGCTAGAAGTAAATAAATAAATAAATAAATATATCGAAAGCTAGGAGTGGCTATTGACATAGTCTCAAAGTACTTCCCCACAAAATAGTTAGCAGCCACAAAGGGAGAAAGACCAACTCTACAGCAGAAAAACCTTGCAGGCATCTCCTCACCCAAGTGGTCAACCTGGGTTAAATGACCAGTCACGAGATCTTTGGATGTCATGAGTCTCCTAATGTGACACACTAGAAGATACAGTGTCACTTCCTCATATTCCTGCCCAAGATGCGCAACTCACATAATGATGAGCAAACATCAAACAAACCCA